AGGGAAAGAATGAATCCGGCTGGAGGTAGAATTTTCTCGACGGCCTGAAGAAGAAAGAAGACGAAGAAAAGAAGAGGAACGAAGAAGAGAAGAAGAAGAAAGAGGACGAAGACGAAGAGAAGAAGAAGAAAGAGGACGAAGACGAAGAGAAGAAGAAGAAAGAAGATGAAGAAGCCGTCCGTCTCGTACCTTACTCCGATTCCGACGAGGATTCTGATTAAACGTCTCCGGGACGGAATGTAAAGAAGGGCTTTGACCCAGTTTCATTTTAGACTTTTAGCCTTTTTTAGTTTTTTAGTTTTTTTGGAATATTCTTTTTTCACATAGTTTTTTTTTCATCTCCTTTTTGATCTTCTTTCGGATCGCTTCCGATTTTTAGGGATTTGAGTTCAAGAATCTCTGAGAAAGTGCTGTTGCAAAGATTCATGATTATTTGCTATAAAAGTGGAACCTTTGTCTTAGAATTTTTCGATTCTTCTTGGTTGCATTATAATCGAAAAGATACCACATATACTATAGCTCGAATTTTTTGAAGCAGGTGACGGATTCATACTCTTCCGCTGAATATTCGCCGAAAGAAGTTTCTTGTGCTTACGCATAAGCAGGTGGTGAACAATTGGACAGAGGAGGAAGATGAAAGGCTAATGCGGTTGACTAGGGCTGAGAGAGATAATCATCACAAACTGAATCGCCTCGCAGTTGCGCTGAAGAAGGGAAAGAATGAATTCAGAAGGAGATGGGATTTTCTCGACGGCCTGACGAAGAAAGAAGACGAAGAAAAGAAGAGGAACGAAGAAGAGAAGAAGAAGAAAGAGGACGAAGACGAAGAGAAGAAGAAGTAAGAGGACGAAGACGAAGAGAAGAAGAAGAAAAAAGACAAAGAAGCCGTCCGTCTCGTACCTTACTCCGATTCCGAGGGGAATTCCGATTAAACGTCTCCGGGACGGAATGTAAAGATGGGCTTTGACCCAGTTTTTTTTTAGACTTTTAGCATTCTTTTTGTTTTTTTTTAGTTTTTTCGGAATATTCTTTTTTTCACATAGGTTTTTTTTCCTCTCCTTTTCGATCTTCTTTCGGATCGCTTCAGATCTTTAGGGATTTGAGATCTAGAATCTCTGGGAAAGTGCTGTTGTAAAGATTCAGGATTCTTTGCTATAAAATTGAAACCTTTGTCTTGGAATTTTTTGATTCTTCTTGGTTGCATTATAATCGAAAAGATACCACATATACTATAGCTCAAATTTGTTGAAACAGGTGACGGATTCATACACTTCTGCTGAATATTCGCCGAAAGAAGTTTCTTGAGCTTATGCATAAACAGGTGGTGAACAAATGGACAGAGAAGGAAGATGAAAGGTTAATGCGGTTGACTAGGGCTGAGAAAGATAATCATCACAAGCTGAATCGCCTCGCCGTTGCGCTGAAGAAGGGAAAGAATGAATCCGGCTGGAGGTGGGATTTTCACGACAGCCTGAAGAAGGAAGAAGACGAAGAAAAGAAGAGGAACGAAGAAGAGAAGAAGAAGAAAGAGGACGAAGACGAAGAGAAGAAGAAGAAAGAGGACGAAGACGGAGAGAAGAAGAAGAAAGAAGACAAAGAAGCCATCCGTCTCGTACCCTTCTCCGATTTCGACGAGGATTCCGATTAAACGTCTCCGGGACAGAATGTAAAGATGGGCTTTGACCTAGTTTCTTTTTACACTTTTAGCCTTTTTTTTGTTTTTTATAATTTTTTTCAGAATATTCTTTTTTCACATAATTTTGTTTCCCTCTCTTTTCCGATCTTCGCTACAGATTTTTAGGGATTTGAGTTCTATAATCTCTGGAAAAGTGTTGTTGTAAAGATTTATGATTCTTTGCTATAAAAGTGGAACCTTTCTCTTGGATTTTATCGATTCGTCTTGGTTGCATTATAATCGAAAAGATGCCACATATACTATAGCTCGAATTTGTTGAAGCAGGTGACGGATTCATACCCTTCTGCTGAATATTCGCCGAAAGAAGTTTCTTGAGCTTACACATAAGCAGGAGGTGAACAAATGGACAGAGGAGGAAGATGAAAGGCTAATGCGGTTGACTAGGGCTGAGAGAGATAATCATCACAAACTGAATCGCCTCGCAGTTGCGCTGAAGAAGGGAAAGAATGAATTCGGAAAAAGGTGGGATTTTCTCGACGGCCTGAAGAAGAAAGAAGACAAAGAAAAGAAGAGGAACGAAGAAGAGAAGAAGAAGAAAGAGGACGAAGACAGAGAGAAGAAGAAGAAAGAAGACGAAGAAGCCGTTCGTCTTGTACCCTACTCCGATTCTGACGAGGATTCCGATTAAACGTCTAAGGGACGAAATGTAAAGATGGGCTTTGACCCAAATTTCTTTTTAGATTTTTAGCTTTTTTTGTTTTTTTTAATTTTTTTGGAATATTCTTTTTTTCACATAGATTTTTTTTCCCTCTCCTTTTCGATCTTTTCTTGGATTGCTTCCGATTTTTAGGGATTTGAATTCTAGAATCTCTAAAAAAGTGCTGTTATAAAGATTCAGGATTCTATGCTATAAAAGTGGAACCTTTGTCTTGGAATTTTTTGATTCTTCTTAGTTGCATTATAATCGAAAAGATACCACATATACTGTAACTCGAATTTGTTGAAACAGGTGACAGATTCATACTCTTCTGCTGAATATTTGCCTAAAAATTGTGAATTATCTCAGGTTATGGCCGTGTGGTTAGTATAGATGAAGAAATTCGTGGGATGAAGGAACAACTCAATAAAACGCCTGTGATGGCTAGAAACGGGTTTCAAGGTCTCGTGCGTTTTAAACGAAGATGCAAGCGTGTGCATGACCACCGCTTGAATCTGGTGAAGATAGAACTGGTACATGAGAATCAAGCTGCAAGAGATTGGGGATCTCGATTTAAGCGACGATATTGCCAAGTCAGGAGAAGTAGATCAAAACATCTATGGAAGTATCCTTGTCGGAAGATAGTAAGCGACAGCAATCTCCTATCTCGCTGCTGGAATTTCAGGATCGATGTTCGAGTCGCTTTCTAGAGGGACTTGTATCAGAAGACAAAAAAAATGTCTGAAGCTCCTTATCATAGAACAATCAGCTTGTCTTTGAGATACTTTGAGCAAGTGTTCTTGTAGAATCTGAAGAAGTCACTACAAGCTGATGTCACACCATGGTTAGAAGAAAGTGAAGACAACTTACTTTCGGGGAGAGCACTTTCAACGAAGACAAAATCAAAGTGTCCTGCAGAACGTGTAAACGAAAGAAGAGAGACAGTTATAATGGCAAGACAGCAAACAATAGAAGAGTGGCTAAACACAGATTCTACTCTATGTAACATCAGATTGGCACCAAAACTGCAAGTATTGAGAAGCAAATGCAAAGTTCAAATGCATAAAAGTCATGGGCAGAGCACTAACAAATGGTACAAGTTGCTAGACCAGTTTGAGTTTCCATTCCGAAAGAAGATGGTGACAGAAATGGTATTGCTGAATGCATATACCAAGCTTGTGTCTCCTGTCAAAATGTCTGGATGGTTAACTCTTCAATGGGATTTAATGGGGCTGTTTAGTGAGCTGTTCGAACCCAACATAGCATCTATCCACCTTGAGGACAAGGTGGGTTTTTTCAGGGGGGAGTAATGGTATAGGCAATAGATGGGCTATTGAAGTTGAAAGGAAGAAACCAAAGAATGATGAAGAGGACATCGGGAGTAATTGCATATACAAAGGAGCTGTATTACTTCCGGGAGTTAAAAGCAAGGAGTGGCTGGAGATAAGTAAGAATTCTCAGCTTTCACTTTAGAACAACAATAGCTATTTCAAGCTACTGGGGTCGGTTGAGACATGCGTCAGGGCATTTGGCGTATGTGAAAGAAACAATTGGAAGATGCAGATCCAAGGACAGAGAACATGAAGCTGTTAGTAGTTGGTGGCATGTAAACTATCTTACTGCCCTCTTGAGAGAAACTCTTTATGCAGCCTCTCTCCTTAACAATATTCAGAAGCACTACGACATCAAACAAAAATCCAGATTCAGTAGTGAGGTAAGTTTCTGGTTTTTGAATTCTTGCTACCTTGAGGACAAGGTAATTTCTCAACCGGGCGGTATTCATAAGTTCAGGCTAAGTGGAGTGGGCCTTTATTGGGCTCGTGAATTGAAGAAAGAATTCGAAGCCCAAACTAAACATTATCTCAGCTTATTTACGATATCTGCTATTGTTTCTTACGTTTCAGTATTTAGGTTCAAATCTCTCCTTCTTCTTCTTCAGATAGGTCACTGGTCTATCCCCTTCTTCCTTTCTTTCTTCATTTGATGATGGGGACCAGAAAATATATTTTGATAGTAAAAGGTATGTTTGATGTATTATGCTGTAGGCATTTTCTTGTCTGACTGTAAAAAATGGGCTCCATCCTCCATTTCTTGCGTGCCATTTTCAAACTTTCAGTTGTTAAATGATCTTGTCTGATTGTATAAAACTGTTCCATTTGAGTCTTTGACTGGTTTCATGATAAGGATTCACATGTTCTGGTTCAAGAAACATATAAATCAAATCTTCTTATCTTCTGATCTCCTCTTTTTCACTGTTGCCAATATAGTAACAGTGGAATAATTTGTTTGGTTAAGTAATTTGTGTTCATGTAACTAACTGTGTTTTTCCTCCTGCTAGAATTAATCAGAATACCTTGAAGAGTTGTCAATACAGTCGGACCAAATATTCAAATGATACATTGTACTTTTATCTATCAGGAAAAATAAAACAACAGCAGAATGCAATACATCTTTGTTCTCCACACCAAAGCAAAACAAAAAAAAAGCCTGTTTCCAATATATAGATAAGAAATGCAAAATGTTACGAATCCTCCTTTCACACCAAAATGCCAACTAGCAAACAACATAAAAAATGATCTTTTACTTTTTGTTTTTGTTTTTCCCTCAAATCAGAGTAAAACTCTCAACTTTGTGTATGAACAAAGAATCCAACTCTGTTGCACAAACTCAGGATTCCGGTACTGGGACTGGCGCTGGAGGTTTGAGAAGTGGCTGCAAAGCTTTCACAACTATACTCATATTCGGTCTAAACTCGGATTCGTATTGCACACACAATGCTGCAACCGCTGCTAGCTGCGTTACCAATATTACAGATTCATAAAATTTCAGACGAAAATGAAATTTCTGAGTTATTTTCCAGACTTCAGATATTGGGAATACATGTAGGATACCTTAGCTACTGATTTAGGAGGGTATTCTCCTTTTAGCTTCGGATCAACACATTGCTTCACTTTATCTTCACTGAGTCTTGGTGTAGCCTGAACCAAATTCCAAAACCCTAAAGCCAGGAGATAAAAATACACAGCAGGATACAGATTTGCAGTGCAGATGAGAAACATACCCAGGTTACAAGACTTTGTTGGCCACGTGGCATTGTGTGATCCACAGGTTTCCTCCCAGTCAAAAGCTCCAGAAGTACAACCCCAAAGCTATACACGTCACTCTTCTGCGTCAATTGTCCAGTCATAGCATATCTGCATATGGGGAAGACACAAGTTTTTAGCTGACTCTTTCACACTAGGATGCAACAAATCTTTTAAAGGGTTTTTGAGGAACATTACTCTGGAGCATGATAGCCGAAGGTGCCCAAGACTCTTGTGGAGTGAAGACGAGCAGCATTATCAGGAGCTTGATTTGAGAGATTGAAATCAGCAACTTTTGCTTGGTAGTCTTCAAAAATAAGCACATTGCTGGATCTTATGTCTCTGTGTATTACAGGAGGCTGAACCTTCTCATGGAGGTATTCTAAACCCCTAGCTGCCTCAACGGCTATCTTCACCCTCGTTATCCAGTCAAGTGTTGGACCTGGCTGTGCTCCTTGAACTCCCTTCCTACCTGAAATCAAGTCTATTTCATATATTTGTTCCCAACCAAGAAAGAATGTTTAACAAGAATAGGTAGGGAAGCTCATCATACCATGTAGAACGTCGTGCAGTGATCCCATCGTTGCAAACTCATAAGCAAGAACACGGAGGTTTTCATCAACACAATAGCCGACCAGTTGAATGAGATTATCATGCTTCAGTCTTGAAACCATGGAAACCTGAGGAGAAGCAAGCAAGAGAATGTGAAGACAAGTTTCCGCAAGACAAATTAAGGAGGGAAAAGGGATTGAAGCAAAAGTTATAACCTGACTCAAGAACTCGGCGTTTGTTTCAGCTTCAGGGGCAACATCGAGTTTCTTCAAAGCGACTGCTTTACCATCGTTTAGAGTTGCATAATACACCCTTCCATAAGATCCCTCACCAATCAGTGACTTTGATCCGAAATTGTCAGTCTTCTCTTTAACCTCATCCACAGACAAGGGAGGAACTTCAATGGGAAGAGCTTCCTTCTGCGCCTCAGGTTTTGCAACAGCTTGTGGCTTTGGAATCTTATGATTTGCTACATGTGTGTGACAAGAAAAAATAAAACGTATTCCTATTAGAAACATAGAAAGATATTCATTTTTGCTTTCAAGTTCCCTCCTTCAAAACATTCAACTCCTAATCCTTATGTGGGAAAATATAATACTAATTATACAAAGCCTGAAAGCTGAAGCCTCTAGTACGCAACCAATAGCACTATAACCTAATCAAAACCATACATAGACAGGAAATTTTCAGTAAGTTAAGGGAAAAACTCTTGTCTGCAACATACCATCAGTTTGTTGCCATTGGTTTTTCAGATGTCCCTCATCATTTGACAAATCTGAATCTCCTGTTTTACGCCCACAACAGATCCACCTGCGCATCCTTGCTCTCTTCTTCAAATATAGATCCTCACAGCTTTTGGTTCCTGAAACCGTTCAAAGCAACTGATCATGGATGCATAAAAGAAAATTATCTTCTACTAGCTCGTGACCCTATAAAATTTCTAACAGCAAAATATCTAGACCAATCCTGGAGTAAGTAGGACAGAGTTTCAAGAAACGCAGCTGTCACTGCCAACGCAGCGGCATCACTTGGAATCATATGTGAAATCACGTTACGAAATCACTAGTCACTACTTCATTATCAAGTTAATGCTTCACCACAATCCCTCAAAAATGAAAACAGGTAAAGCAAACTGTTCTTAGAAGTGATTACAATTTTGTGTAAGTAGGAATATATCATTCCTTCATACTGGAAGAACAATCTAACAAATCAAAGTAACTTCTTTCACAAAACAAAGATTACCAGAAACTGGAACCTGAATCGCATCAAGATTGCAACTTTCAACAAGCACAGCTTTTGGAACAATTAGTTGGTAAGTTTATTAAAAAAAAAAAAAATGCAATTCTCAATCAACAAATCCACATTCCTTAGTATCCAAACCAGAAATCCAAACTGAAAAATTACAATCAGAAAGGGACAAAAGTTTACCGCCAGATAAGGTCGGCAATAGTCAACCACTTAGCAAAGTTGAAAAATCAAAAAAAAAAATATGTACATCAGAGAATCAAAGATGACAAATTACAAGTATACAAACCTAAAAAATTCAGATCAGATACGTTACCCGGAGGAGAGAAATCTACTCGAATTAAAAAAAAAAAACACTTCATAAATTGAAAACCGCGTCCAAAACGAAGATCTTCAAACAGGGACAGAAACGAAATCGAATCAGAAGATTGAAATCAAAGATGGGTCAATTGTAAACGGCCTTAAGAAGGTAAGAAATCCATGGAATTGATCCAAAATCCAAACACAGAGATAAAACAAACAAACAAAAAGGGGAAAAATTCTATCTTTACCGGACAAATCTCGATTTTCCGAAAACGTGCTTAAAGCTGAGACTTGTATCGATCTCTTCTAAAGGGTTTGTTGGGTAAATGATTGTCTCCTCTGTAACTATGTAGATGAGAGAGAGAGAGAGAGAGAGGGAGTGAGTGGAGAAGGAGGAGCTTTGCTTGAGAGAGGGAGAGAGAAAGGGAGAAGACAGATGGGCAAACGCGGGGAAGGGTTATATAAAACGGCCAAACCAAAAGGAAAGCCGACTTTTCTCCTTTGGCTTTTTCTTCCTTTTTCGTTTTTTATTTCCTTCAAATTATTGTTTTTTCTATATAATTGAACCCAATCACTCTTTTTTTTTCCTCTGTTATGTTTAATTATTTAAAGCTTTGAAGGACAAAATCTCCAATTATTTTTTTATTTCGCTAATGAGTATATGTAATCTTAAATTCCAGATATGCAACCTAATTTACATACACCGCTTATATGTCACACCAATTTTTTTGGTAGGGAAACATATAATCTAACGATTTTATTACATTCATATATTTTTCAACGAAAAAAGATGGTTGAAACGGGTCATAGGGTTGTGATTTCTTTCCATTAATTCAACTAAACCAAAACATAGTTTGCCTTCTGAATATAATTAACAGTCACTTTGTAGTTACACTTTACACATGTTTTTTTTTAATGTAAGCATTGCTTCTCTACACGTAGAACCCTATTTTTAGCACATTTTTGGTGTGATTCATCGAAGTTGATATAAAGAAACTTTAAATCAGAATAATGAATTTCTAGAATGGTAGACTTCACAATGAAACAAAGATCTATGAAAGTGAAGACAAAGGTGATGATTAGGGGTGAAAAGTGATCTTGTTCCTCCCCATGCGAGGAGCTAAAAATAAACCACACAGATTTTGGGCCCTTTCATATCAGGAATGAAAATCCCTAGAGCATGCATAAAAATTAATATTTTTTTGTAGTACCTTAACGAAAAACAAATTTTCAAATAATGCATGCATGATTGATTACCTTTGCCTATAAGAGCATTTCCAATTTTGAGGGATTGAGGTGAAGCACAAAACTTGATGATGAAGTAGTGGCCTGTAATTTTGTAACGGGCCAATGAAATGAAAAGCCCTAGGTCACAAGAAATTTTTTGGGCCCTTTAGTATTAGAAATAAAAAAAAATTGGACCTTTTTAATAAATTTTTCAATAAAAAATATTAATTAATAATATATTTTATTAGATCAATATTTTTAAAAATAAACTCTTCAATGTACAGCATTTTGCTGAAATTTGGTCTGGTCCTCCAGTGAGTTCATATTCAACAGAGGCTGCAGCACCGTCCCCAAAAAGCGAAGCCATCAGCTCCATTCTTGGTTAGGAAAGTTCGTTTCCACCTTTTTCCGATGGTTCAAGTTGCTTTCGAATTCCATGGCTCTAAAAAAATATTTTCATCTTCTGGATTAAATTTAACAAAGCACATACCCAAGATCAAAAAGGAAAACAATAACTTAGTGTAGAGTCTTGTCTAATAAAGAACAAAAACAGCATGTTCAAAGTAAAAGGAACGACTCATATCATTCTACTAAGAGTCAATCAAACCGAAGAAGTAAAACAAAAGAAGTTTTTGTATACTTGGCCAGGAAATGTAAACACATCGACACACTCAACCTTACCCCAAACCTCTTGTCCCTTGCATCTTGATTCTAAAGATATTTTGGCATACCGAATTTTGTTTTTCGGTTTGGTATCGCAAACATCCCACATAACCAAAAGTTTCCCATCGTAGGCAGCTATGTCAAACACATTCCCAGTTCTTAAACCCCTTAGTTTTCCCAAACCCTTGATCTTCCTCCATTCTCTACCATCGGTCTTAGGGTCAGAGTGAGACCACATTAGATCCCCGAAGAAAGTGCAACAGTATATTAAATTGCCTATCTCACACCAAACCGTCATATGGTCGTATGGGAAACGCGTTTGCTCTCTTGCGAGCTTCCATGTACCATCTCTCAGATCGTAAGAGAACTCCTTTTTAGCTACCGCTACGTAAAGCTTTCCTTCGAAAGCATGAACAATATCAACATATTCATTTTGGCGTAAAAGATTGCGTAACACCTCATCATCAGCGCCAGGACAAGACAAGGGTGTCCAAGTCTGAGTCTTCATGTCAAACACCTCGAACCAATTGCTAGAGTACTCGTCAATATCGCAACCTCCAATCACATATATTTTCTCATCGTGGTAAATAGCATCGACCTCCTCCCGAGCCACGGTCATGCTAGGGGCGTCACGCCACGTGTGACTCCGACAATCAAAAATCCGAACAGAAGAAGACGGCTCCTCGCAGTTTCCACCGATTAGGTAGATCTCCGAACCAACCGTTAAGGTGGGCACATCACAAGAAGAGAAAGGCATCGGAACAACCGAATTTCCACTTGAATCCTGCTTAAACCTAGTCGGCCTCCCATTCTGTTTGGTTAGGGTTTGGTCAGGTTTCGCCCAAAGACTAACCCAGCTCAGGTATGGGCTATTGTGCAAACTTAAGCAGACATAGAAGCATGTTTCTTTGGAACCGATATGAGATCGCGTCTTATATATTTCCGTAGAAGATAAGAGAGAGCGGAATGTCTTTGAGACAAGAGAGAGCGACGGATAATTCCATCTCGAGACACGTGCAAGAATGTTCTCTGTGATTTCGTCTGGAAGTGAAGAAAACGACGACGGGGGATGAGTGATTGTTCGTTGCGTTGGTTCAGCTTCTTGGGAGGTCATGATCGGCCGAAGCTTGCAGTAGTGGCTGCGTAGAGGAAAGGTTATAAATATAGGGTTAACTAAACACGGTTAGGTCTTTAGAAAAACTAACTCGTAAATATATTTTGATATCATTCCAACAAAAAAAAAATTATATAGAAAATCAAAACTACAGTTAAGTTATTTATTATTAATGTAATTAAAAAAATTTAAATGGAACCTATATTGTCTGTTGTCTGTTGCCCATCCATGATTCTCCTGGCTTATGCTATCTCTTGATTTTTCTTTTCTTAAAAAAAAATAGATGGTATCTCTTGTTTTTGTCTCACTAAACATTAAAGCCAAACCACGAGCACTATGACAAATTATTGGTGGAATTTAAACCAAAAAAAAAATTATTGGTGGAATGCAAATAAAGAGAAGCATAAGATAAAAAGGTACAGTGTTAGTCCAAAGCGAATGCAGGCTTAGGCTTTCGAACATTATTAGCCAAGCAAGTGTGGAAGATACTTGATGAAACGAGGTATTTTGCATCAAAATAATAATATTATTGAATGTAGAAAAGGGTTAAAGTACACACTATCCTATTCCTATAATACCATGCCTGGCTGAGAATTGTTATGTCGTGGCCTCGTAGGCTTATGAAGTCGACTGGAGATGGAACAAAAACGAAGGTATTGCTAGAGAAAGGGATTCTGGACCTTTTAACAAGCAGATTCTCGTCGATTTTGGGTAGATTCAATGGGTCTCATTAAGTATGTACATCAGAAGAAAAGGTGAAATTTAGGAAAACAAAAGACAAAAAAAAAGTGTTGAAGAAAAAGTAAACAACAGGAAATTTAAATGGATTATAATATAGGGTTTTCTGTAATCAAACCACTAAGTTAATCGACATCGTTTGAAATTAAAATTTAAACCAATAAATCGTAAAAGATAACAGTTGAACTCGCGACCTCTTCATCTAATATCAAATTAAATGGGCACTTGAGCTACTTAATTCTTTTGGAAATTAAACAAATCAAAGATATTATATAACTACACAACTTATTTTTGCTCAGACAACATCAAAATTGGAAAGGAAGGAAGGGGTTTAGAAGCCAATGAAAATTTGTAATACGCAATCTACACAATCAATTGACTCTCTAACTTGATGTTGAAGTTATCAAACTTCTCATATGTTGGAAACCATATGTTGAATCACATTCCATTCGATAGCATTCATCTTTTTAAGCCATTCAAAAATCTTTATCAATAATCGTTATTTTCTGCCTCTTCCGCCCACGGTGCATCTCTAGCATCCTTAATATGAACCATATATAGCCTCCAAAT